GCTGGCCTTTGATCAAATCCCAAAATCACCTCTGCATCTCGCCAGCTTTGCAGAGACCGTCCCACCGTCCCGACAACCAAAATAATAATTGGGAAGGCCCTCTAATGCAGAGGCGCCAAGAGGAGCGTGTGTGTCCAGCAGTGTGTGTGTGTGTGTGTGTGTGTGTGTGTGTGTGTGTGTGTGTAAGGCTGGCCAACTGAAATAGGGCTCCACCACACTCATGCTGTCAGGGTGAAATATCACTGCACTCTCCCCTGATTGCTGTGTACGTTGCTTCAGCCCAATTCATAAAAATGCAATTCCACGCTGCTCTGTACGCCTGACTTGACTGAATAAATTATGACATGCTGGAGAGGCAGATTTAAGATGTCCAACAGCAAAGCATTTACCTATCTCAGCCACTCAATTATCTGATGCTGAAGGTTCGCAAAAAGCTATTTGTAAACAATGTTTTAGGTTTTTTTYGGCACAAAATTGCACATCTAAAATAGCTTTAAGGTGATGACATTTTTCCCAGAGTCTTTCCCTCTTTACCCTGCAGGTGTCCCTCACACGAAAGCTACCGGCCTCGTCCTTTCCCTCCGTCCAGAGGATTTCAAACTCCCCAGCTCCTCCGGGATGACAGGTGTCCAGATGGTGTGCCGGTAAATATTGAAAGAGTTGAAATTTCGGCCTGATGGAAGAAGACTGAAGGAATTACAATTCCCCCTGAGGGAGACATAACTGTCTGCACAGATATTTCAGAGCAGAGCGGAGTTGTGGATGGATTCAAACAGCCTGCTGACGCTGCCATCCACAGATCCTCTCACAAAGCTAAAACTGTCACAAAGATGAAACTCCGTCTGAAAAGACAAGAAGGTCTTCGCAGGACAGCCAACTTTAAGGCTCTTTGAAAAGTTAAGAGAAACTTTCCTCTTCAACTTTGCTGTGGTAGTAGCTGAGGCTCATCACCAGCACATATTCTGAGTGCAAACAGATTGCTTGGATCTGAGTGTAAACTTTTACCATTAACTACTGGGAATCTGCGCTGCCTGTCTGTYAGCAAAATATCTTACAAAACACTGAACGGATTTTAATGAAACCTTCAGGAAATAATCACTGGATATACATGTACATCTTATTAACTTTCAGAGTTAATCCAGATTAAGATGGCTGCTACAGTAAACTGAAATTAAAAAACACAAAAAGGTTTTTAAATCAGTCGGTTTTATATATACTGTGATTAAAATAGGTATAGTTGTAGCTGGTTTATTATTCACAACACATGCACTGAGTGCTGTTGATTGTGCAAGATCTTTGTTTAAAACTTTTGCTTTAATTGTTGAAGTCGACACTCTGTTAGCAAAATATCTCATAAACCACTGGGAAARTTTGAATAGAACTTTCAGAACTTAATAATTGGATGGGCTTTTACAAGTGATTAAAGTTTGGGGTTAAACCAATTTAAGATGGCTGCCACAGCTAATCARTATAAACCAACTCAAAATTGGCTATATTTAAACAAATTTTAGAGAAATCAAGGTAAAACTTTTGTGTGGTAGTAGCCCAGCCCAGTAACCAACACATGCTTTGAGCATGATGTCTCTTGTTATTGCATAACTTTGTTTTTAGGGCTTGATCAAAACGACTACAATGTTATAATTTCTCAAAATTTAGAACTGGCATTAAAGGCTAAAGATAAAATGCATTTCTTTAAGGAATCCCAGGTGTTTAGTTTACTTTTATGCTAAAATCTGAGAGTAGTATTGTCATTAAGAGATATATTATAATTTGTGGTGGTTTGACAAAAAATGCAATTGATATATGTCAAAAACAAAATCTATAAAAAAGTCTTACTGCCTTATTTATTTTTTTTATTTGTTTACTTTCCCAAAAGATTTCCCAAAACTCAAAGATAAAATTGAGACTCATCATTTCAGTTCACTTTCATAAACATGGGATAAAATCAGAAATCTGTATCTGATTGGATTGCGGGTTTAAATCTAAATTTATCGTAGGTTTGTTTCTGGCACCAAAAATAGCTGCTAGTTTCAGGAGACGTCGTTCGCTGTTGCTCCTGCATGACAATACTCAGCCTCCTGAAAAAAAAAAAAAAGCTCGCTGTGCCCCTATTTCGTGTTCAAAGAGAATCCCATTAAATCTGATGAAGACAGAGAGGCGTTTTACTCGGCTCTGCATCAGCCTCCCAGACTTGGAGACCTGATTTGAGTCGTGTTGTTTGTTGAAGGCCCAGTGTTCAATTTGACCTTTGCAGCCACACAGCACAGGGTGCGGAGCCATCCAGCACGGTTTGTCGTGCACCGAATCTCTGTGCGTGGCTTTTAACACCTTCCTTTTGTGTTGCTGTTTGCAGAAACACCTGCTGAAGCTGTCCTGCTGCTCGGCTGAGGTCCACTGAGCCGCTTCCTTTCGAAGCAGGAGGCTTTGAGGAGTGCTGCGCTCAGATCCCTGCTGACTTCACCTTGCAGAGCAGCGGTGTGAGACATAAATCTACGACGGTACGACTCCAAGCAGGGCTTCCTTTCTTCTTTTTTTTCATTCTCAGGAGGAAACAGGCTGCAGGAAACAAACATTGGTCTGAATGGGAGAACATATGTAATTGCTGCAGTCTGAATGCCCTCACATCTTCACCACTTATCAGAGCTGCTCCTTCTCCTCCTTATAGGAACTTCATTTCTTCACCAGAAGCAAAGGAGGAGTTAGTTTTTATTTTAAACTCAGCAGTTTTCTACAATTCCTTTTCATCCTGAAGCCCCTGGAAACCAGCAGATGTACCACCAGCCCTACTTTCACTTTCACACACTTTCCTCCACTTTTTTTTCCTCTCTCTCTCTTTTTTTCCCCCTCCCCTCCTTTTTGCACTTGGAGTTTGCTGCATGAAGTCTGTTTCTCAGCAGCAGCCCGAGCATTAGGATGGATCGGGGGTGGCGGGGTGGGGTGGGGTGGTGGGGATTTGCATGGAGAAGGGTGGGGTGGAGGGAGTAATAGAGATGTGAGGGAGGACGGGGGCGCAGGAGAGAGGAACACCAGTGCCGAGGCTCAGCGAATGGGAACCAAGGAGGGAGGAGATCACAACACAACGCCGCTGTCCCATGCTCAGAGGGTTTGGATTGAGTTTTACCTGCCTCTGCCTCAACCCTCTCCCTCGTTCCCTCCTCCCCTCCCCTCCAGCCCGACTGGAGCCGCAGAGGATTGTTCAGTGAGGATCAGAGCGCCTCTCGCTGCTCTGCCTGCCTCACGTTTGCACACCGGAATGCTCCGGCAGGCGCACACTCAGACAACTTTCTCTCCCTCACACTCACTTACATGCTCATAAGCAGGGCAGGTAAACACACACACACACACACACACACACACACACACACCTCCTGTTATCTGTGCAGTGTGAGCAGCTGTATTTCACTCCTCCAGCACCGCAGCAGCAGCAGCAGTAAAAGGAGGAGGAGGAGGAGGACATCACTGGACATCAACAGAGGTAAACATCTCTCCTCTTTCTTGCTCCGACCCCCACACCTCCTTTTTTTTTTGTTCATCATGATTTGACGCAGCCTCCTCTTGTCTTTGTCCTCCCCGTCCCAGCGTGCAGACGCCATGGAGGAGACCCTCACCTGCAGCCACGTCACTTTCTCCCAGGTGTTCGGGCGCCAGGGACTGCTGATGCAGGCCAGTGAGTAGAAATACAACTCCACCCGTTTCCATCTTCAGCCCTCCGCGTCGTTCAGATCATGTTGGAAGATTACAGCAGCAAAGATTGACGCTTTACTGTGGCCAACTTTAGTTTAGACAAAATAAAAAAAACAAGGTTTATTCTAGGAACAGAATTACAAGGTTGCTTCTAATCTTGTTTTGGGGACAGAAGTTTTTTTTTTTTTTAGACGATGATTTTGAACTATTGCCTGGTTGTTGTTGGTGTTTTTGGTGGCGGTGCAGCTCGTTTATGAGAAGCAGGTCGTCTTTCTTGTTTTTATATAAAGGAGCTCAGCTTTCAGGTGTGGAATTGAGCTCAACTGGCGGGTTGTGTTTCAGGAAAAAAAAGCACTTTATAAGAACAGGGGTGAACTGGAAATAAAGTGCTCAGTTCAGCTGTTTGTGTCAATGGAAATGAAATATATTACATGTTTTATTTATGTTTTCATTTAAGTTTTGCATGCAGGCATGCTTTAAATTTAGTCCATATTTCAGCTGCAGTGTATAAAGTTACGTTTTGACACATTTCAAACTTCATTTCAAAGATTGAATAAGTTGTGCAAGAAAGAGCTCATGTTGTCTTCAAATCTTTAAATATATCTGTGTATTTAAAGCATCCTATAGGTAAATTATGTTTGTGTTCTGTAATCGCTTTAATCATCTTTTTTATTATCTTGGCTCRCTAAATGGTGAAGGTAGATGATGTTTTTGYCCATGTCTGTTAACAAAATATCTCATGAATTTTAATGAATCATGCACAAAATGACCATTTGATGTTAATCTCCAGCTGATCARCTGATTTAAAAATACAAAMATGGCTATAACTCAGTCAGCTTTACAGATATTGAGCTAAAACTTGATGTGTTATTATCACCGATAGTCTTATTTTAAAATTTAAAGGTTTGAAAAGAAGATGATCTTAACTTTATATGAAATGTAGTGGGTGAAATGCAGTTCTTTAAGAAATGCAAGACTTGTAGTTTATTTATTTACTTAAAGGCAGGCAGAATGCAAGACATTTCCAGTGTCCAGTAAAGTATATTTAACACCATGTATTGCATTATTATCTATCATGATATATTGTGTTGTAAGTTAAACACAAGAAAGGTCATTTCTCTAAGAAAATTACGTTTTCAGAATAGAGTAGAATAGAATAGAATAGAATAGAATAGAAATAGCCTTATTGTCCCACCTTGGGGAAATTCAGGTGTCACAACAAGCATCAGTGGAGATTCACACACTAGTTACTTTACAAACTATAGACAGTGCACAAAAAATGAAATTAACACTAACTAGCAAACTACTGCTAATCAAAATATAATACAAAGAATTATGCAAGAATAAAAGAGAAAAGATATGTTTTGTTTCAGAGACGGTAGATTTCAGTACATTTCACCATTAACTGGACCAAACAGCAAACACCCGTGTCGTCTCTGAGCCGCCTCCTCTCACTCATCGTGCTTTAACGTGGAGCGTAGCAGCTTCTGGGAAAACTTGGTCAGTGCTTCCGATGTTCCCACTCGCCCATAAACGCAGAGAGTTCCTTCACAAATGATTACGAGGAGAGCTGAAGTGAACATTACAGTAAATCGTGCCTTCAGAGTCGGAGCCCGCATCCACTCTGTTGTTCTCGTTTTAATTTCCGGCGTTTCTCATCATTATTACCACCTGGAGAGAAAAATGTCTGATTGGAGTTTCACAGCGTGTGCTATAATCAAGAAGCCATCGTGTTGAAGAGCTGATAATGGAAACAGAACAGTCGTTTTCTTCGGCTGGAAAAACGTGTATCTGTGAAGATGTGCTGCAAGACTTGTTTTTTTTTTTTTGTTTTTTTAAAGAACTATTTTAGGAGATAAACAGGAGGATTGTTGGTGCAGTGGATTGTTGTCTGTGCTAAGGTTCTTCACCCTCTCTTTGCATCAGAGYGCCCTTTTATAAATTATGCACTTTGTTTGAGTGTATCTGTCGGCTCGATACTGCGTTGATAGGAGTGTATTTGAGTTAAAGGGTTGCAGGGCCCTGATTAAAATTCTGTTTCAGATGTGCAGGAAGCTGGAAGCATTTGAAGCAAATGAGAACTTTGCTGCTGATCCATTTTTCTGGGTTTATGTTGTTGTGCTTTTATGCCAAAAAGAGATGAGCTTCTCAGGTTTTGTGTGTATATGTGTATATATATAAATATCAACACTTTATGTAAAGAACAGATAAAACAGAATAGCATTGGTATACAATGTTCTGACAATCTGTGCTACCTCGTCAGATGTTGCTACCACAGCGTGGCTTGATAGCTCGGTCTAACTGTTGGTGCTATCCATCAAAAACTGCTACAGTCATGTTTACAGAAATATGATAATCGGATAAAATTCTTTGAACAACGGTGTTACTGAAGTGGAAGCTTAGGAATTATGCCTAGCATAGCATTGGAACAATTACAACGAAAACCTTTTATAGCTAATAATCACAAGAATATCGTCTTCCAAACATTTTAAAGTAAAAAATCGAACAAACAAACTATACACTGCACCAGATACATATAAATTTAATTTATTAATTTGATGGATTTAAATGTATTTAATTTAATGTCTATATAAATATTAAATCCATTAAACATTCTAGCTACCATTATAAAATATTGCGGTAGCATTTGTTGACACACAATCCTTTCTTTGGATCACTCAACTTTAACAAAATACTTAGGTAGCACATTTTGTTGCACCAAATGCTTTTTATTTGATCTTTGTACGTTTTATAAAATACAGTAGCAGAAGTTGGTGTCGTAATGTCCCTCATCGGGATATCCTACCTGTTAAATATAAGTAGGTAGCACAAATAGATGCCCTAAAACCTTTTATTAAAATATCCTACCGTTGCAACGTGCTTATTTTGCAACATGCTTATTTGTTGTTATTAACAGTATTTATAGTGATAGTGATGCTATGCTAAACAACTAATGACTAACGACTAATTACTTGTTGACAGGTAACAATATTGCAAATAGCAAAATAAGAACCATTTGTGCTAATAAGTTTGAGGAACATAGCTGCTCAATGAAATAAAACTTACCGTAGCCTTTGAAGAAATGAAACAAAATGAAACTTCTACAGATAGCRCATACCAAAATGTAATCTGTTGAGTAAGCAACCTGTGACATAACATCGATCTGTGCATGCGCATTGCCACAAGGTAGGACGGGGTGATAGGTAGCACAGAACGTCGGAACAACGGTATACATATGAAATGCTACTCAGATTAATTTATTGACCCATTTAAAATAAATTTTATTAGCTTCCTAATGAGTTGAATGAAACTGAAAAAAAMCCCCCAGTAAATATCTGATATTTAACAGCATTTAACTATAATGAATCTGTCCAGGTCTGTGTCTTTTGGGTTGTTTTATATTCATCAGCTTCTAGAATGGTTTCCTTGTGTTTCTTACTTCTGCTACATCCACGCCCACCTGTTCTCTGTTGTTAATTAGCTCAGGTGTGTCCACTCCTCTCATCAGACCCAGTTCTTGTAGCAGGGCTGTCTTCATTTTTGAGGACCACTATCGAGGCTTCTTTGCTCCATTATACCCGATTTGAATGAATGAGTGTTTAACAGCTTCTGCAGAACTTGAAGAGGTAATTCAGTCCCAGAATCAGGTGTGTTGGAGCAGAGGAACAGGAATACCACAGCACTGAGCTACCGCACAGCCCATTGTCTTTACAATCCTGGTATTTCAATGGGACATGGAGCAAACTGATCGTACATTAGCAGATATGTGTTAGAGCTGTTTTGCTGCAGCCTGGTAAAATATTTTGCGACTCATCACTTGGTTCTTTTAATAGTAAATGAGAACCGTTGCAGTTTAACGGTTAATCAATAAAGATGTTAATCTGCGGTCTGAGCCTTTATGTATAAGACTGTTGCTTTGTGGGTTTTGTGGTTACTCCTTTGTTTTGTTGGTGTCTCTTGCATCCAAACAGATGTGGTTAAATGACTCTGCTCTCAGATTTATATATACATACATAGCATACATATATATATATA